GGGGGTCTGGGGGTCCTCCCCCAGAAAATTTTTACATTTTTGAAGCTCTAGGACTGAATGTCTGGCGTTTTCTAAAGCAAATTTCGCAAACAAATTGCATGTAAATTGGCTGTATTTTACAAAAATGGTTATCATTTCACAAAAATAATTACTTTATTACGCAAATTTTACCTGAAAATGTCAAAATTTTAACTTGAATTTGCTGGGGTCAAAACTTTGAAAAGTTTAGAGCCCCCCCCCCTTCAGTATATCAAGAACTTTCAGAGCCCCCCCCCTTTAATGCCAGAAATATTTCAATGCCCCCCCCCTTAACATATTCATCCCCCCCCCCCCCTCGGCATAATAAATGTACTTTCCCTAAAACGCAACGTAACGTTACAGAACTTTCGTTTTTGTAATTGCCTTTCCTATGATCCACAAAATGGATTTAATAAGAATCAAGCACCCCCAATATACTCCCCTTTACCAAGGCTAAGAGGGTGCCCCCCTCCAGCAGTAAATACATCCCTGAATATATAAAACCCAAACTGGCAGAATAGGCTTATCGTTAAATAAGTTATTAACCTCGGCATCAATTCAGCAGCACTACTGTGCCTATTTAATACATAAAACTAATTAACTGGAATTGGAAGAAGATACATTTAATCATTTTTCACAGCTATGAAGGTGATGCTCGGGACAATTTTCAACGACGATTCGTAACGCAACGCACTACCTAACCAATCAAATTTCGTTTAGTGCTTTAAATTGGTATAATCTTTCCCCAGGAAAGCAGTATGTTTTATGTTCCCTCGGCCAACAATTTTTCCACTGCGGAGATCGGCCGCCTCGAAATCACAAAATTACTGTTTCCCTCGGTTTCCATAAATAAGTGTTCAAACACATGGACAATATTGAAGCATTTACAGTACCTTGAGCGACTGTAATTCCACATTCTCTTATGAGTTCAGCAGTTGTGACGAAAACATGTAGACAGATCAACATCTTATGTCTTTTGACATCACAAGTTTGATCTGTACTGAAGATATCTGATTTCTTCCTTTCCTCTTGTTTCAAGACGAATCTTGTGTAGTCTGCAGTAAGATTACTGGTGGTGTACGAGGATGCGACACACCCTGCTTCTTGTAATTGTAGGAGACAAGGTCGGATGTAGTTTTCGATATAGTTGTAAGCAGTTTGAAGTTCGCCAGCTAGCGAAGCATCAACAACTTCAGCATGGTCTTTGAAATTTTCCATCTTAAAAACAAAAGGTAGCTGTTTTAAATAGAGTGCATGCATGTCTACTATTGTAAGCGTATGATTAAAACCATGGAGTAAATAGTGTAAGGTCTATAAAACCTGAAACACTTGCAATAATGATTTATCCTCTGATTCGTATCTGTTATATGATATATTGGTTACAAATTACATAAAGAAGCATTTAAAAGTTTTCAATGTATTTTCTCATTAACACTGCCTTTTTAACCCCTAATTTAAAATGCTGTCACCATGGAAATTTGTTGGCGTGCATCTTCTTCAAAAGTATAATCCAGTATTATACTTTAAAACAACCAATTTATTGAAGACGTGCTTAATTTTTAACTAGTTTTCCAACTATAGATTAATAAAAAAACACGAGGAATTAAACATTAATTGTTATAATGAAGTTATAAGTAACCTTAGTGAGAATATCGTCATTCTGGTCTCCATTTCTTTGATCAACCTTCATCGCTTTCACAATGGCTTCTAAAAATATGAATAAATTGATTTGGGAACTTTAGTGCACCGTTTCATTCTTGATATATATGCATTCTTTATATTATGTATATTTGAAATATCGAAATTAAAATTTGCATCTCAATGTATTTTATATATTATATAGTCAGTGAACAATAATATGCCATCACAGTTTATAGAACTGAGAAACTGTGATGCCATGTACAACGGCTTTATATAAAACACAACTCGCAATTCTTTTTCTTAATTTAATTAAAAATGCATTCAAAATAAAAAAATATTCAGGTTCCTTAACATTTAGAGATTTCTTTCTTACAAGATTAACTTTATTATGTCTACGTATATAATAAAGCGTTATATGATGAACATACTTGGAGGACACCTTGATGATGATTTCATTCCAGTTCTAAGCAATACAAAATCATCTATTCCTGAATGAATGTTGTTGTACTTCTTGCTGTCATCTAACACTTCAGAAGTTCTTATACTACTACATGTTGCTGCATTTCCCACGATCACTTTTCCTGATGATTTGCTCCGTGTAGAATTTGGAATGGAAGTGTTTGTTTCACTAAAATTTTCCTTTTTCGCCATACAAGGCACCAAAGGACTTGGCTTGGTAAGCTCTAAAGCCAGTGGTGATGCATCGGTGCCGGACACTAAATTATAGCAAAGGTTTCACAATAGTATCGTATATAATATGTTTCGATCATTTGGCATACTATTTCCTTTACTTTAGCGTCATGTTGAAGTAAACTAAAAAGGAAACTCGTTCCTCAAGTTCACTGCAAAGCAAACTCTCTATTGGGTCATATTTCCTGTTGCATGTGCTGAAGGTAATAAAATCTGGGGCAGAAAAGACCAAAGTTTGACAAGTGTCAATCGTGGATTAAAATATTTTGAGTTAAAATATTTTTATGCTAACTATTTAGGGTTTTTGCATGCCTGTTTATTTCACAATATCAGAAATGAAGTACAATTTCAATCAATCCAGATCAGTGTAGCCTGTGCGCAGTCCCAGACCCTTTGGGAGTCTGGGACTGCGCGCAGGCTAAGATCAGTGAAGCCGTTTGAGCGTAAATTAATTTGGAAGTTTCTATTCATGCTGCTAGAACAATTTAAACTTTAATCAAATCCAGGTATAAGCTAATCAGCTTTCGAACAGGTTTGTTGACGGGAAAACCTGCTTATACCTCCGAAGCGCAATCTTCATGACCAACTTATCCTGATGGCAAGTCATATCAAAAAATTATGTTCCATCACTGTATAAAATCTGAGTTAACATCAATCACCTACCGTAAACGTTTCCCCATGGCATTTTCTTCAATTTAACTTTTAGTTCTGAAGCAAACGTAGGCACCTTCAAAGGCGATTCAGGTGCAGAACATTCTTTACAATCGGTGGTAAATCGAAGTTGGTTGATATTCTTTTCTGGTGTTGCATGTAATGGATCCCAGTGTAACTGTAACTCTAACTCACTTTGGAAGTCTTCTTTAGTTTCTTTGGACAATGTTGATAATGTTCGAGTAAAATCTTGACGCACTAACTCGCTGTCATCAACATCAGGAACTGTAATAATGATTGAAATATTTACATGCAGGTCCTTGAAACGCATATTAGTACATTATGAACCCGTTATGAAGGCTTCAAAAAATTATGTAAAAATCATTTTTCTATGTTATAAACATTTTATGAAAAGCATGATATGATTGGTAATTATATGAAGGTGTTAAATGGTATATTTTACATGTACGACATATGATTTGTGTAGTTTGGGACGAGTGTATCTATTTAGTCCGTGCATGTTGTGACCTCGAAAAGTGCCTAGAGCGGACGGCCTAATTGATGATAGTACGAAAACGTGTTCTGTACTATTCATGTCCGTCCAGTCGAGCCTTACATATCAGATACAACACTCCTTCATTTGAATTCCTTACAATGATACAGCCTGTTTCGTTCATGGTTTAGAATGGTATAATTTGGTTGGTATGTATGTATGGTACATGCAGTAAGGTGTAGCTTGGCGGCTGTGTTGGTAAATTGCAACGTTTACGGTATTGACTATATGGTCCAATGTCGCATGTTACAATATGGCTAAACGTATTTAGATACAGTTTAACGTAACATAAAAATTAATGTCCGGCCACCGTCCAAGAGTGATATTATACTACTCTTGAAAAGAAGTTAATTAAATCGAAACGTACTTTCCCTTGATTTAAAGACGCATAATATAGTCTAACTTACCAACAAGCATTAGAGAAGAAATTTTATCTGGCAATCGGCTGGAAGCTTCAACTTCTTGTGTGGTTTTCTTTTGTGAACGTGGGGAGAAAACACATCTGCGAAAATTTTATCAACATTTAATTCCATTAATATTTATTGGGCTTTTGTACTTGTCGTATAGACATCTAAGCCTATATATATATATATATATATATATATATATATATATATATATATATATATATATATATATATATATATATATATATATATATATATATATTTAATCTTAAAAATGGTATATGTTGCCTTAATAGAAGATCGGAAATATTCGCGAAGTGCCGCCACGCAGAGAAATTCCACGCGGGAAAATTTGAGAGCGTGCGCGACCAACGAACGCATGCGTCAGCAAACCGTTAGTGAGTAGCGTCAACAAACAAAACTGAACTTACTTGTAATAACAGTTGCCTGAAGATTGCGAAATTGCATGAAACTCTGAGTAGCAACATATACCATTTTTAAGATTAAATAAATATATATATATATAAATATATATATATATATATATAAATATATATATATATATATATATATATATATATATATATATATATATATATATATATATATATATATATATATATATATATATATATATATATATCTTTTGGAAGCTAAAAATAAAGCTTGGAAGGTTGAAACTGGTTAAAAATTTATTTTAAAAATATTAAAATATCGGAATTTTCCGATATTTTAATATTTTTAAAATAAATTTTTAACCAGTTTCAACCTTCCAAGCTTTATTTTTAGCTTCCAAAAGATGTCTTCCACTGGTTGCAATTTTAACATTTTTCGAAATATATATATATATATATATATATATATATATATATATATATATATATATATATATATATATATATATATATATATATATATATATATATATAGGGTTGGGAAAACCAATTTAGCAATTAGCTTACAATTTTAAAAATTTACTGAGAGGATGACTGTTCTAATTTACGTAGCTACAGAATTGTATATGCAAGATATATAGAGGATATTGCACGGCGGCACGAAGATATGACTTTTATCGTTTTCATATCTTCAAGCCACTGTGTAATGTTCTGTTTATTATATAGTCCCAAGCAAAAAATTTTGAAATTTCACGTTCTAAAGCAAATTGGAAAAAGTCACATGATCTTTAGCCTGCGTCACAGACGCTCGTGGGCGGAAATTAGGGCGCTAGCACTCATCACATTACACACACAGACTATGTCGTAGTCTACATGATCTTCACTAGTGAAGATATGGAAAATATCTCACTGTGTATTTTTCGGTATTTCACTCTCTACTATATAATATAATATTTTATGTGCCATGCAATTACTGTCGAAGGCAGCTTATGTAGATTATTTATTGATACTTACACTGATTCTTCTAGATGAAGTTGACAAGGTTCTAGGTGATCGATATCTTGTGTGTTTAAATCTACGTTTTCTTTATGTTCAGTACGGTGGCATGGTGGTGGTGATTCTAATACCAAGGACGATACATCTTTAACGGCAATATTGATTTCTTAAAAGAAAAACACAGCGTACATCATTTACTTGCGACATGAGCGTGTGAATAGTTATGCAGCAGTTACTCAAACAATCCATGAGTCGAGAGCTACATGTTAAAAAGTAGAAACCTACCGTCCTGCATCCAATATTGTAATGTCAGGTGATTTTACGTCTCAAAAGACAATTCTGAGACAAACTGCGATTTAAGCTTGTTGCTCTAAGCTTGCAGGCATGACACTAGATTTAGAACATCTTTACCTGTTTGATTTATTTCTAGGAAGGACTTTACTTTTGGTTTTACGTGGTATTTTAGAGACGTTTCATACTCTTGATGCTTTGTCCATGTTACAGTTTTGCAGGAACTCTGTATTTCTTCAACAAAAAAAGTTGAAAATGCATTTGAAGGATTTGTATGCTCAATTACCAACAAGGGCAAGTGTTTTGCCACAAGAAAATTTCCACGAATAAAACCCAAACATATATTAGAGACGAATTTTTGTTAAATTTAGATTAATTGATGGAAAAAAGGAAGGACAGATAACAAAAGGAGAACGTAATCAATTAACCCATTATAAATTAATGTGCTTCCATACATTATATTTTCGTGCGTGAATATAGGTGTTACTTTAACCCTACTTTAACCTTAGCATACTTTAACCTCAGGATAAGTGATCTGTTTGATTAGCAGTATACACTACTTTATTCTGAACTTTGTACATTCAACTTACCCTTAAAATATCTATTATGTTCCAAAATCACTTCACTACTTTGCTCTGGTATTGGTGAAAGTTTCTTGTAGTTTATTTCAATATACGCGTCGTGTGAGCTGTAGGCCGAACCAATCAAGGGACTTGCAAATTTGTAATGTTCAGTTTCAGTCTAGAATTTGAGATAAATATATAAACTTCAAACACGACTACAATAAATGCCGTCTCAATAGTATTCTTTAGGGACCGGTCATTAATAATGGGAGGGGGGCGGTGGGTGAGAAAAAGGGAGCGACTTCAACTATTTTTGCCTGAATTGGGGGCGGCCTCATGTGACAAGGGGCAACCCCAATTTTTTAATACTTTCTTACTCATTTTCAACCTCTCGCCTTTTTTAATTCCTATAATCGTCGTTTCCATAGTTTATTAAGTATATACAGTTATTAAGTATATACATCATAGGAGCCAGAGTAAATAACAACCAATTTGAATACTGGTCCTCTAATTATTTAGACTACACTACTACTTGTCCCATTACCTATTTCACACCAAAAAATGTAACGAATTAAATGTTGGAATGGGGGGAGTCCTAAATTTTCTAGATGAAGGTGGGGGCGTCTTGAAAATAAAGGTCTTGCAATCGGGGGGCTCTAAAACATGTTCAATATTTGGTATTTATCACCCACCACCCCCCTCCCTCCCATTATTAATGACCGGTCCCTCAATATATAAAGAATACTAGTTAGGATGGACTTTTATATAAAGAATACTAATTCGGATGGACTTTTATATGAAGAATACTAATTAGTTTGGACTTTTATATAAAGACTACTAATGAAGATAAGTTTTATCAGGTGTAAAGCCTCTTCACGTGACATATTATGGTTGACATATGATTTGCCAATAAGCTTATGAATTGTTAATGAGTGTTTGAAAACCTGAATAATGCAACTAAGCATATTAGCACATAGGCAAATAGAACACGAGAGTGAACAAATGTTTAAACAAAGCTTTTTCTACCAAAATTGCATATTTTGGGCTTCAACACGTGTAGTATGAAAATGTTTCGGAGGATTACAATGATAAACTCTTGTCTCCAGACTCCAGGCCGCGCAGACTGCTCACAATTTTAACACCATAGATTTCAAGAACAAGTGCTGAAGTCAGAAGAATCTGACTAGTAATATTTACAATGCTCACACTATTTCAATCCTTTAACTTTGACCAACCTGTTCTGAAATCGATAGTTTTACAAAGGATTCCTTGGACGGTATTCCAACAATGGAAATGTTAGTTAAATTTTGATCACAGTAAAGTCTTGAACTGAAACAGAAAATCGAAACACAAAATATAGTCGTTTAAGATCAGTATAATTAACCTTTCCATATTGCGATGGATAAGTTTTGGTAAAAATATATATTAAGAGTCTATACTTTAATAAGGCGATGGCATGGTGTTATTTAAATAGCCAGCCAAATCACTTTAAGAATGTTTTACTATATTCAAAGATATTTATAATATTCAAAGAATGAAGTGTATATTTAAATAGCTCGTACCATATGGTCCGGCATTCACTTCTCAAGCAGCCATCCTTTCCAACAAATGGATCAGTCACTTTTCTTGGCTTGAGTCTCAGTGCTAAATCTTGGAAACGTGGTATACGTCGCAAAAACTCTTCAAAGCAGTCTTTCATAACCATTTCCTCTAGTTGCCATTCTTCTAAAAATGAGTTAAAATATAAGATCATTTGTTTACATTAGTGAATTTCAGCGAACTTTATGATGAACACTTTTAAATATATTTGGGATATTGCAGTAATGTTTTGATGTTTCTTTTCCTTTTTAGGAAATGGGAAAGGCAATATTGATGGGAGAAAAAATGAGGAAAGGAAGAAAGAAGAAGAAAACTGAAGAAACGGTGTTCTAATATTTATTAATTATATTGATGGTTGCATAGTAGTTATTATATATACTTTTAAAATACTCATTTATTCATGAAGAAAATTCAAATAAAATGAATGTTTAATCAATGTTTGTAAATCGGATAAAGATTTGTCCTTGTTATTTTCAAACAGGAGATTCAATTTAAGTTTGCATGTAAACTCACAACTGCAGTACATATAGTATACCGATATTGCGTAACTTGATTTATACTTGCGATTTATACGTGACAAAAAATCATGTTCATTAATTTACATAAACTTTAGCTTTGATTTTCTCGGTTTTGACAACGTTTAGTTTTAAAATTACTTCGCCAGTTACGAAACTCATCAGATGGGTCGTTTTTTTAAGCCATTTAAAAATCGCAGTCCGCGTGCTTTATCAGATATATCGATCTGATGAAGCATTCCTGCTCGTGTTTTAAATACTACATAACTTTAATAATAGTTTTGTTTGTGGAAACACCACGTAAATATATTACTGCAAAGCTTTCGATCCGTAAGCCCGGATCTTCATCAGTGCTAATAATATGAAGAAGAAGATGAAGAAGATCCGGGCTTACGGATCTTCTTGCTAATAATATGAAGAAGATCCACTGATGAAGATCCGGGCTTACGGATCGAAAGCTTTGCAGTAATAAATTTACGTGCATGGTGTTTCCACAAACAAAACTATTATATTTTATTGCCATGCAAACATACAAAGAACTTACTACATAACTTGTATTGATGAACAATACTTACCTGTGTTAGAAGAATAAGGTAAATCATGTTTGCTAACGTCAACTTCATGTCGACTAAGATAATCACAGACATCTCTGACTATTTCTTCTTCAAGATCAAAATGCGAATCAGAAAGAAAACTTGGTGGCGGTGAATCAGGATTGGAGCTCGGAACATATTCTATCACACGAGCCGTACTGTGCAGTCTTTCTGGTTTACGACCAAATCTTGAAGGAAGGATCTCCAAAAGATATGATAAAGCATCGTTTTTCGGAACTTTTTCAAACTGAGCTATTTATTAAAATATATAAAAAATAAAATAAGATTGTAAATGTATAAGTGTATACATGTTTCGCTATACTGCATGGTTTAAGTAAATAAATACGATATAATTTTGGTTGTTATTTTTTGCCTACTTTGGGTTTCACTAAGGCATTATGCAGTGAATCTGCAGACGGAGGGTCAACCTCAAATGTATTGATGCTTATGCTGTACTGGAGTGAGAAAAAGATACGAAATTCCATGAATTTACCGCCAAACACAAGGCTATAAATACATAAAACGAACAATCGACTCACTCTGATAACTGTGTTTTGTTTTAGAGTTGACCCCCCCCCCCTCGTCACTTCTGTGACGTCATATGAAACCCAAGAATAGACTAGAGAACATCAATATATCTCGATCGAAGATTTAATATACTTTTGCACATCGGAATCCATCAGGAAAGGATTTCGAACACCACTAGCTTTGAGGGAATTTACAGAAAAACGAGAGTTAAAACAAATCTTGGGTCGAGCATGCAAGTTTCAAAAAGTCACATAAGCTAAAGAAGTGTGCAATGATCCAAACCAAGTCAAGCACCTTCAAGTACTTATGTCTTATTCTCTACAATATAATATATATAATCTTGACAGACTTTCGATCAAATGACTATTTTCAATGTTTTTACGAACGCTGCCATAATTAAAACTAAATATCATATTAGCCCTATTCACATTAGAGACGGACAAGTCGTCTAGACGAACAAATCGTCTCTCAAAAATCGTCTTCACAGACGGACAAGTAGTCGAACAAATTCAGACGACTTGTTCGTCTAAAATTTTGTCCGATACGTTTTCACATCTGATGATTTGTCCGACTAAAAGACGATTTTGAGACGATTTGTTTGTCTAGACGACTTGTCCGTCTTCTCATGTGAAAACGGCTATTAATAATGCTAAACATTAATGAATCAGTAAAAATTATTGTATCAATTGTACTGTATTCGTAATTCACAAAATTTAACACTTTGTCGTAGAGCTGGAATCAAGATAGCAAAAACCTTGAAGTATCTTGGGATCTTAGCTGGGCGGCCACACCAGACAAAATCACAATTCACACGGGCGCTTTACTTTAAATGTTAGTAGTATATACAGATTATTTGTGCAGGTGTTTCTATGACATTCCTCATTCCTCTGGACATTCCTTGGATTATCAATGACACTGTCGATCTTTAATAGATTTTACCATGCCTGCATTAAGTTTACATGCTGCATTCAGTCAGGTAACTAAAGACAGTCAGTTTAGATTCAGTTTTTCATTTTTTGTGCTGTTTCGTCTACACAAGATGACTAATATCATATTCTTCTTTGAATTCTTGACCACATCTACCTCTTCTTCTTATCCAAAGCGTGCAGTGGTATGAATTATTTTGCCAAATTTAAGACAATCAGGATTTGGATCTTTTTTGGCGTGAGGTAAGATTAATTTTGGAATAACAATTCTTCACTCTTTCGACAATCATCATATGCAGGCGTATCCGCAGCTGTTGTTTCGCGCTCTGGGAATACCATCTCCAAGGACGACTTGTACCAGGGATACTCACGTTCTCTTTACCATTTATATTATTTAGTGTACCGCAGTGTTTCCAGTTAACTATTTTCAACAGACAGATTTGAGTTGTGAGGCAATTAAGATTTGGATCTTTTCCATGGCAATTTTTGATTTTTGCAAATTCTTCACTCTGATATAGACTTTTCACTTCTCCATGGAAGACTTGCTCCAGAGAAACTGCGTGGCATTCTTTTTTCTATATTAACCATTTATATGACATACTGTATTGCAGTATTCCCACTCAACATATCGTGTTTCAATGAAAAGTCTAATGAAACCCAAGATATTTTAATTAACACCAGTCTATAAAGCAAATTTAAAAATTCAATTGATCCGTAAAAGTGTTCGCGGCTTTCGGTTCAATGGCGTCAACATACTGATTAATGCGTTAGTTAGTTGCATAGCAACAGTAAAACAAACTGAGTTCGCGCAAAACAAAATGCAAAACAGAATGCAAGACAAAAAGTCAAATCATTGGGGTTAACTTGACACAAACAAGTCAAACACATTTAACAATCATAACAATTCATACCTTAATTTAATTAATCATGTTCCAACTCTAACAATTTGCAAAATTCTTTCACCATTAATCATTACTGTATGCGATTACTTTTACCATGCATCCTTTCAGTTTGCGTTCTCGATCAGAAAATCAGGAATTTTTCACTTTACTGTACCCGAGTTAAGTAATCACTGAATACATACGCCATCAAAACACGCCTTCAAAGAACGGGAAAACGGCTCGCCATCCAAATACACGCCACCAAATATTTGTGTTATACAGATGCATGGACGCAGCTTACTGGCCAAAAGTTCATTATTACATCATAATTAGCTGCCACGAAAATAAAGTATTGTGGGTAATTCATTAGCGCACTGATTGTGACATCATTTAATGGAAACTGCCAAAAGCTGGCGGTAACCATTGGCATTGTCGGTATTTTTATCGCGTTTTTTCCCCCTTGATTGTCTTGCGCATAGGTCGGTCTCGATTTTTTAACTTTCTTGATCGAAATAAGAATGTTTTAAAATTGCATAAGAGTGAATCATTCAATAAAAATATCGAAATCTGATTTGCTGTCAAGTTGGCAAGAAAGCCGGCAAGTTTGCTAAATAATCCTCAATCCTAAAATCCTTAATCCTACCAAAATAATCCAATGGCAATGGACCATTTGCATTATAATTTATAGACTAAATTTTGATCTGGACAAAACTTTCATCACAGCTTGAAAGAGCATCACAAAATTAGTAATATTCCAAAGTTTCGTTGCGAAATGTTATAAAATGCGGATAATATAGCCTTGCGAAGTTTGCCGTTTTTCAGTCATTTTGCATTACGCGGGGGAAATTGACAGCCCAATACCCTTTGGGGCTGTCAATTTCCCGTTTGTAATACAAAATGGTTGAAAAACGGCAAACTTCGCAAGGCTATATTATCCGCATTTTACAACATTTCGCAACGAAACTTTGGAATATTACTAATTTTGTGATGCTCTTTCAAGCTGTGATGAAATTTTTGTCTAGACTTGTTTAGATCAAAATTCAATCTATAATGTAAATGGTCCATTCACCCCATTGGATTAGCGAAGTCTACTAGCGAAGCGAAAAGCAACTTATTTATAGCCTTTGCTCGGAACGTCGAAATTCGCCTTATATTTTTCAGGTATAGTTGCATTCCTACCAACGAAAGTTTGTTGGGAAAACAAAAACCTATATAGTGAGGTCCTGCTAATTAAATGTGTCATTATTAAATAGAAAGAAACGATCATGGCAAAGAAACGTACATTCATGCATAGGGGGATAGTTTCCTCCCAGTCAAAATGAAGTTCGGGGCTCGGGCAAATTATAAACGTAATTCGGGCACAAATTGGGGGAAATAACTTCAAAAAGAAGACATAGACAAATAGGAAAAATTTTTGGTCGACCTCACCTCCCCCCTCCCGTCGACAACAATTTTGGAAAGTTTACACGGAAATTTTTTTTCAATATGTCAGGCACAATGGGGGAAAACTCGGGCAATTTGTTTTCTGCCCCCCCCCCGGTTTTTCCCTCCCGTACGCCTATATGCACGTAATGGACAATCATCATTGGTTGGAGGAGAGGGTTTGATGTGAATAGGTAGTCGATTTTAAGCAAACCATGAATAATAAAATGACAGGAGTGTGTGCGCACAGGGAGAAGGCATGAAGGTCAAGGACATTGTCCAAAAGGGAAGTTTATTGGGGGAGGAACACTCTCCTCCGCAGAGGCTTTTTGGCCGCTTTTTCTGGCTGGCCAAGTAAGTAGCATTTTCAACCCGCACCCTCCCGAATCCCGCTCTCAACCCGCACCCGCCTTCTGCCTGCTACTTACTTAGGTTTGCGAGCCAAAAAAGTCTCTGCCACAGAGGAAGTACATACAGAGATCTCACTTCAGGTTAATTTCACGTAAGAGATTTTTTCAGTCCGCCATGTTCTTAGCAAGTGCCCTAAAGAGAGGCAGTCACCCCCTGAAAACATATTTAAAATTTAATATTCCAGGGAGGTGAATGCCTCTCTTTAGGGCACTTGCTAAGAACATGGCCGCCAGCTATTTCGGTAAAAAAGCGCCTTAATACGGTTTTGTAAATTGTAATGGAAGTTACACTTCTGTATGTCTTTATTCTGTGTCTCTGCGGAGGAGAGTGTCAGAGTGGGCACTGATTGGCACTGTACTGAGAGAGTGGGGGAGGAATGTAATTTTAATACTGGGGCCGGCCAACATGGCAACTTGTGTTAAAAACACTGATATGGTTAAAAAAGACCCTGATTGTGCAACTTATATATCACATATTTAATATTACATTGTCTACCTTTAACCAAATACCATGGGAAATTTCTTTCAGTCTTGCCAGATATTAGTATAATAGTCTCATCTTCTCCATATCCTGGACAGCTTATTAACATACGAGATAGCAACTGATCTTTTTGCCTCAAAGCCTAAAATGAAACAAATACAGTGTATAGAACTAAAAGTACACTATGCAGTACTCAAGTCTATTAGTAAACTTTGGGAAAACATGGGCAAAACATTTTTTTCTCAATATTTTTGCCGTTTTCCATGTTTGAAATTGGTATTATATATAAAAGCATCCTCGACATGAATAAGAATGCAAAAGATACAACCACAGCACATAATTTCATAAAAAGGAAACGTGATACACATAATTTGTTTGGAAACGCGAAAAAACTGTATTAAATAGTTTTTTTTCCTCATTTCTCCTGGAAACGAAAAGCGAAAAATATATTTACCTGTGATAAAAAATCGATTCCCAAATACTTTGGCATATTTCATACTTTATAAAGTTGTGTTAAAATTAAATCCTTTTCGATTGTGCTCCAATTATTTATTCTCTATGGAGAGCATTGCATCTTTTTTATCAACTGTTTTATCAATTTGGAAATATTTTGACTACTTTTGAACTAAAAAAAACATTCAAGGTTTTAATTTTTTCCCGCGCAAAAAATTGCACAGGGAACCCGTATGTCAAATCATATGTCTGCGCTTGCAATGTTTGGAAAATACTATTTCGCTGACCTCAGAATGACATTTCGTCAAAACTTTTTTCTTCAAGATTGGTTTAGAAACAAACTTGGAGTAGGGTTAGGTTAGGGATAGGGTTGGGGTTAGGATTATGGTTAGAGTTGGTGTTTGGAATAGGGTTAGTGTTAGTAAAACCATTGCATTGTTACGTTTTGTCACTTTGAGGCCAGCGAAATAACCTCTTCCGCAATGTTTCAGTGGTTGCCACCCTTGGGATTTTGTCCCCGCCAAGAATCCCAAGATCTTGGGATTTTTTAAAGTGATTTGGATTTTTTTAGTATTGTTTTTTTCAGAAGTAAGACCTTACATGGGAATTTTCTTGGGATATTTCAAATAAAAGAGCAATTGAAAAACATTTTAGCTGAGAAATAGTAAATGAGCACATCTAATGCATGTTTTCATTAGGGGCCATTCACAAAGGATGTCCGGCCAAATGATGGATTTTCAGACCCCCCCTCCCCCCCTTGTCCGGCATTGTCCGAATTAGTGACCCCCCCCTCCCCCCGGACATCCTTTGTGAATGGCCCCTTAGTGGTTTCATCCTTTATTGTGTGCAAATAAAAAAGGTTTTATCTTGCAAATATTGATCGGATTCAGATATTTGTGGATACATGTGATTCACTTTATTTATTTATTTCAACTACACTGAGTCGGTTCCAGTCTTCTTTTCGGAAAACGGGACACCTTGGGCTTTTTTAGAAAAAAGCTGGAATCTTGGGATTTTTTAGGGTCTTGGTAGGGACTTTTACCCAAATCCACCTGGCAACTCTGCATAATTGTGTCACTGTCACATCTGGCAGTCAGCCACTGTAGGGGGTGTGGGAGGTGGTGTGCTGGTATTAAAGGGAATTTTGGTAACGACTAACAAGAATCAAATTCTCTTCTTGCCTTTTTAAATATTCTTAAAAACCAAAAATATTGTGCCAATCATATGTTACACATAGTTGCACCAAGAGTTGCACAGGGAACTCAGTAAATACGCTGTTATCCACACAATAAATGGTTGCAAAATGTGTTCTAAATAATTAAAAAAAATGACGTTTTTAAGACAATTATACCGGTACTTGAAGTCCCTGCATTGTCTTAAAACCTTGCAGATTTTGCTATCCAGCACAATTTTACTTGCCCATTTTTGTATGCAGCATGCATTCAATTTAACCTACACAGTACAAACTGGTTAGCCAGATCGAGCTGCACACAGTTATAAAGTACCTAGTCCTTGGATATTATTGATAGAAATGGTATCTATTATTTCTATATTTCAACTGAAGAATATATAATTTGCCAAAAATATATTACAGATTTTGCAAATATTGTCTGGGAATTTTAAAAATATTTAAATACCTACATCAGACATTCCAACTATTCGAGGTAAAATTTAGGGAGACTGTTCAGTGAATTGAAATCTTGTTCTTCTGTGAAAAAAATTTAAAAATTAAGTCTTCTGAAATGGCATTTCCTGCATTTTGGGAAGATGTTGTTATAAGTGATCCTATAAATTGCCATTAAGTAACTTCATAAAAAGGTCAAAACAGACTATTATGTTGCAAAAACAGCATGTTTATGTTTTTTTTACGATATTTCCGAATGTTCTGAAAAATCAAATAAAATCAGGAGAGTTGGAATGTCTGCTACATGCTTTTTACTTTTACACATTTGAAGACATAAATACTAAATACTAAAGTATGGTATGAGATTAGATAGAAAAATTGGTGCTTCTCAGAATACGTGGACAGAACACTCATACATATTTGTAGATTTGCTGGTGTAAAACTTTGCATATTTTCTCCTAAATATTGATGCACCTATATCCTATTAGGCTTTAGCTAGCATACCAGATATCGACCCTAAATTCAAACTATTGGTATAAGTATTTTTCACTCAAATGTATCAATATAAATTCAATGTATAAGGAAAGTTTTAATGCATGATTGGCATGAGTTCTTAACTCATACTTATGATGAGTTGTCAAAGTCCAAATGTTATATGTGAATTTTGAAGGGAAATAAAATATTGGTATTGGTTATTGGTACTATCAGCCATTTACTGGCCCTTGAATATCAGTTATCAGATTATTCGTAAGTTTCCAGGTGCATCACTGATCACTATACTCCTCAATCAATTTGTTTTTGTTTTCAGTTAATTTTTATATTCTTCTGTCAACACAATGTCTCTGACATTGTACTTTCAACTCTGACAGTTTTATCATGTAGTGTTATATTAAAATTGTCAAATTGATAATTTCTTCATTTGTAGATTTTGTTTGTTATAAAGTTCCAATATTAATTTCTTCTTGTTAATGTAAAAATCCACATGCCGCGAGATTAAACAGCAGCAACGAAGTCCACTGTACAAAGTACATAATATGTCCCCACAGGTTATTCAAGACCACGGTGTTTCACCTCGATCTTTCTTGGAAAGGAAGCCAATCTTTCTGTCCATCTCAGCATTATAAATTCTTAGTTTACTTTCATATTTCTTTCTTCGCCTCTTAACAGTAGGTTTTTCATAATATCTGTTAAGCTGTATGTCTTTAATTTGCTTTTCATTTTGCATGACTCTTTGGAGTGAGTTCATTGCATCTGTGACACCTTTTTTACCAACAATTATCGTTCTTGCTCTGAACAAATGATGCGCCATGTTGCAAGAGATGGTGAGATTGTACCTCCATGTTCCTGTGTGACCCTATGAAAACCCTATGTATCCTATAAAATCATGGCCATCGAGTAAAAGAATGAGAGAGCCATTGAACTGCAGAATATTAAGAACTGAATAAAATTTATAAAAGAACGATGAAAGTGAGTTTACGTTTTATTTTTATATCCTTTTTGGCTTTTGTTGATCTTTACGTTGTGTGTATATGATTTTAAGAAATAAAAGTGAACAGAAATAATTGTTTTATAGGAATTAAATAGTTAAATATGATATTTTATACCAGTCTTTATACAAGACAATTTAAAATATAGCAAAGTCTATAGTGCTAAATATAGAGTAGTGAAGTTGTAGTATTGGGCCATTCCATTAAATATGGGCACCCCCCTATTGAGGGATACCTTCATCAGTCAATTCTAGCTGTAACCATTCCCCCTTGGAACAGTGTGGGGCATTTGTACGCTTACTTGTCCCCCACGGCAGGGCAGATGTGTGTTCACTGGGGATCAGTAATTTGTCAATACCAGGCATAATTGCCTTTAACATTTGTCATTAACAGAGAAAAGACAGCAGCCATGAGTTTTAATTACACAAAAAACTTTCAGTTTTAAATACTAATATAAACAGCAGAGCCTGAAATAACCAGATCGAGGCGGACACCCTTGAAGAAAACTCTGGTATTCCATAATTATAGTTCAGATTTCACGCTTTTTGAGTGGTGAATATTATTTGTCATAATGAAACGATTGAATTTTGAGTACACAAGAAAATATTCTATATACGGTAGGTTGCTGTAACCGTATAAGTTATTAATGTAGGTATAGTTGGTGTAGACCATGTTATAGCTAGGTTAAGCGCATTAATTTTAGCAAGGATCATAAGAGATTGAATGGCAAATGTTGATTAATTTAAAGACCATGCATGTAAAGTCTGTTCTGCGCACACGTTCTGCGCAAGCTTACATTCCAATGGTCGGGACCCGACCGTTGGAATGGGTCGTTCCAGAAAAGATCCATACCCCTCCCACGGAGGAAATTTTTGCTGTCCGAAGGGGGAGGGAGGAAAAATGTCTTAGGATGTCCAAAGGGGGGGAGAGGAAAAATGTCTTAGGATGTCCGAAGGGGGGGGGGAGAGGAATGTGGATATGTTTGTCTGAAGGTTTGAGACTGTGGATAAAGCCATGTGATCGGCGATTATAATGAGCACGCAATTTTTATCGGCTATATATATGCAGCTCTTGAACACCGGAACGTTTATGTAACAGCAATAATTATACGTCCACGTAACTTGTAAGCAAAATAAGCGGCCCACTTTTGCATGCATGGCCACCAAAAACTAACTCGCTGTAACAGCGTATCCTGCATGTTTAGAATGAGTCGAAAATTGACACGCTTTATTTATATAGTTTGCAGTTTTCGTTCGCAATATATAAGTTTGCATTATTCAAGTGTTAAAAATAATAGTTATTAAACTGTTGCTCCGAATGATGTTAATAGTCTTAATAGTTATTAAACTGTAGTTTAAAAATAATAGTTATTAATATAAACTGTTGCTCTTGTTAATGTGAACTGAACTCAAAACAATTTGTTTTAGTATATAGTCAATAAAGCTTCTTTGCGAGGTGCGTGTCTAGAAAATAGAAATGGCTTTCATATTAAGGGCGACGTTAAGGAATGCAGTAATATACTAAAAAATGTATTAACATGTAAGTAAACACAGCAACACTTGTCAATCAGTCGCAAGTTACATCGAATTTCAGTCCGAATTTTACTTGAACGAATTTCGAAGTGAATTTCTGCAAATTATCCGACAAAACCTGCCACGTGTTTGTGTTCGCAAGTCACAAGAAGCTGCCAAGTGTTCCGCCACGCCAGAGCTATTTGAGAACAGCGTAGAAAAGTCACAATAAGCCATCGCTAATTCACTTTACGCTGGAGCAAATCGTTTGAAAACTTTCACGTCACTTTTGCCGTAACAATTTGAGCACGGTTTCTAAACGGAGCGAGGTGAAAACGGCGGAGCGCTTGATAGCTTCGTGTGAACATGCACAAACGTATAAACTCGAATGCTTTTCAGTTAAATTTCTTGGGTCTATTTGAAATATTTTGGGTTTACACGAGTGCTAATTCAATTTGTAAACAAACTGTAATGGCTTCATAGTCTGAACACACGTAAATTCTGCCTGCATTAGTTCGCTTGCGCGTAGTGTGAACGCAGTCTAATTTTCGATGACGTTTTCAAACGGCAAGGTAGCCTTTAGGAAAATTTAGAAATAGTGGATGTCCGAAGGGGAGGGGGGTAATTTTGGGCTTTGATGTCCGGAGAGGGGGGAGGATGAACCATTCAAGGATGTCCGAAGGGGGGGAGGGTGTTATTTTCGATATGGATCTTTTCTGGAACGACCCATTTGACTTTAGGCCATATTTTCACAAAAACAAAAGGATCCTGTTAAAACAAATCAGAAAACTTATGCTGTATATTCCATACCATGCGGTGACTGCGAGAAAGAGTATTTATATAATAACTACAGTGATACACGCAATTTGAATGGTCAACAGCCGTGCAGGATCAGACAATCCTGCACGGGAAATTCTGAACAGAAATTCTTGCATATAATTTTACAAATATACTCGCATTGTAAAGTTTCATTGTACGATACCTTTCGACTTTGAAGTAAGTTTCCAATTATTGAGACGTTGGTTTAGTTGTATGAATGAATTTCTGATCGATACATTGCTATTCAGCAAGTAGCAACGCGTAAGCGTTGAAATTCATCAGACCATGGCATGCAAGTACAACATCTCTCGCTTCAAAGTTGATCAAACGCTTCGCAATCTTCACATATTCAGGTCGAGAATCTTCAAAACTACTTTGGCTCTATGTTTAGCGGGTTTTCCATTTCAAATTTCGTATATTTTATCGAAAAAGTCCCTGTATTTTCGCTGTATACTTTCGCGAATTTGCGATCAAATTCTGTTCACATATGTTGTTGTTCTCAATAGCGTGGAGTAGCGATTCTCTGATTGGTTAATTTACAAATGTTGTGAGAACTGCACATTTCATCAGTAATTTTAATCAAGTTAAGCGTCGTTTCACTGTAGTAATTTTATAAAACAATTACCAAATGGTTTTCCCGTGCAGGATAGCATGATCCATGCACTTGGGATGTTGCTCGACTTTCGGAAAGCGTAAAAATACACTCGCCTACGGCTCGTGTATTATTACGCTTTCCGAAAGTCTCGCAACATCCCGCGTGCATGGATCACGCAATCCTGCACGGAAAACCATTCGGTATTCCTTTATTGGGTCAGTCTAAACGCCAGTTTGGTACACGGCTAAAAGAACATCAAAAGGCTGTTTCAACTTTAAATTAGTTGGTTCGAATACTGTCACGAAAACCAAATCACTAGCTAAAGAAAACAATTACACTCCATCTCAGTTACCATTTGTCCCGCGAAGTTATACCGAGCCAGAACAGTTCACCTTCGAACCCGTAAAATGTTCCCTAGTAGAATATGTTATGAAATCAATGCCAAATAACAAAGCTCCAGGAATCGGCAAAATACCAATCCGTTTCATCAAGGACTGTAATAACGGGTAAACGTTTACCCGTTATTTCGCCATGGATCACCTCAATCATAAACAACTCGCGCGCGAACAATATATTCCCGAATACTTGGAAAATCGCGGAAGTAACTCCCATTCCGAAAGAAGGCGATCATGAGCTGGCGAACAATAACCGACCCATTTCCTTATTACCAGTTCTTTCAAAAGTATGTGAGCGTGTAGCACTCCACCAACTGACGTCTTATCTAACCACCAATCACCGTATCTCTGTGCATCAAAGTGGCAACAAAACCTGGCATTCAACGGAGACCTCCCTCATTCATTCCACCGACTCTATTCTTAAAGCAATTGACCAGAAGAAAATAACAGCAGTTATTCTTTTAGACATGAGCAAAGCTTTTGACAGCATTAACCATAATATACTGCTTGCTAAATTGGAGAACGTTGGTGCCTCGTCTAGATGCCTGGCTTGGTTTAAAAGTTACCTCTGCGAGAGATACTAAGCAGTACGTATCAACTCTACTCTATCTGAGAAATTGCCAGTGGCTAGTGGTGTCCCACAGAGAAGTATTCTGGGCCCATTACTTTTCAGTATTTATGTGAATGATTTGCTGTCAGTCGCCAAAAATTGTTCATCAGAATCGTACGTTGATGACACTAAACTCCTTCTGTTCTTCCAAATCAATGAGTCGATCACTGCGCTGACTGATCTAAACGAGGATTTGATTAGAATGCGAAACTGATGCTTTGATAACCTACTCTTGCTAAATCCAGACAAAACTAAATTGATGGTCTACGGAAGCCGCCAAATGCTCGCGGAGTTACCTGATTTTAGACTATCGCTACTTGGTAAGGAACTTACACCTGCTTCATCAGTGAAAGATCTCGGAGTTAAGTTTGACCCAATCCTCTACTTCAACAACCATATCCTTTCTACTGTTTCATCCTGCAAGTCAAGTCTCTGCCAGATAAATCGCGCTAAGCATGTCTTCCGTAAAAACCTCTTAATAACTGTCATCAACGCCTTAGTATTTAGCAAGCTGTGCTGCATGCTGTTCTTCGCTTTGGTCAAATACTTCCTGCAGTAACCTATCCCGACTTCAAGGAATCCAGAACTTCGCAGCACGAGTAGTGAGTAACAGAAGGAAATTTGACCACATCACCCCGATACTGAAGGAACTGCGCTGGTTTCCCGTGAAGTCACATCTGTACAGTCGCGATGCTCTAGTAGCTTTCAAATGCATGAACGATTGCGCCCCTGCCTACTTATCGTCCCAGTTCAAAACGAGAGGTGAAGTGAGTGGTCGCGATACAAGAAATACTAAACAGCTGGATGTTCCGTTATACAGATCAACTGCAGGACAAAGAACATCCCATTTTAGAACTGTAACTCTCTGGAACAACATTAACCCTGACTTAAAACTTTGCAAATCTATTCCAAGCTTTAAAATTAAACTGAAACGGGAACTACTTCAGCAATTTCTAGATAGTTAAGGGCATGTTTTCCTGTTGTCATTGTCGTTGTTATTGTCCTTGATGTTGTTGTTGTTGTTGTTGTTTTTGCTGTCGTTGTTGATGATGTTTATGTATGTTGTATGTTGCTATTGTTAATGTTGTTGACTAAATTTGATGTCGTGTTTGTGTATAAAGTAATTGCGTGATCTTATTATATGAATTTAGGATCTAATGTATAATTATAGTAATTAATTGATATGCATATGTATTTTTGTCACTGAAAAGACCCTTTAGGGGAGTGTCAATAAAGTCAATAAACAATAAACAACTTTAGAGAAGGGAAAATCAGCTTTCGCAGAACATGTATGTTACACCAAACACGAGACTGCATGGGGAAAACTCTAAAATAATTACCACAAGCAATCGCTACGGTAAAAGACTTTGCCTAGACTCATCCCTGATGAAGACACTAGACTGGAGTGTCGAAACGTTGGGTGTTGATTACAATTCGACTGGGCTTTGTAATCATTTATTTAAATCAGATCGAGTAGCGAGCGAAACATGATTGATATACCTGGTTGCAGTGAACGAACAAACTTTAAACGGACTTGAATGTTCGTCAAAATTAGCAAAGGTTGTAGTCCTCACAACTCTCTTTTGCAAAACAATAATCGCATTTAGATTTGATTCATATGTATTACCCCACCATATCAGACCATAAATTAAATATGGATAAATCAAAGCATAATATAAATTAACAAGAATTTCCGTTTTTACATTTCTACTGATTTTAAACAGCACACCGACACTTCTTTTGATATTTTTAGCAACTTGATAAATCTGAGTATTTCAACTCAGATTACAATGAAGGTAGAACCAAGATATTTGATGTAGGATTCCTGCCTTGTCACATTATCATTCATTGTAAGGCTTACAGTGTCAACACGTCTTTTTTATGCGGATGAAAAATAACGAAATTAATTATTATTTTAGTTTTTTGAATATTTAATGATAATTTATTGGCACATAACCAGGTATTAACAAATCCCAGATTATTATTTATCTCAGGTTTTAATTGTTTCAGTTCTTTACGCGAACAGATCAAGTTGGTGTCGTCTGCAAATAAATGAAAATCAAAAGCTTAGTGCAATTAAAAAAATCATTTACATATAACAAAAATAATAATGGACCAAGAACTGAACCTTGAGGTACACCACAGAGAATATTACATGTTGGATGGAGAAACTAAGCTGCTAATAGAAACAAATTGTTTCCTGTCATTAATATAGGAGATAAACCAATCCTTGGCTATCCCTCTAATGTCGTAATGTTGAAGTTTTTCAATTAGAATGTGATGATTAACGGTATCA